AGTTTCTGCATGTTCTAATGAGTGATATTGTTTCAAATCAAGAAACAGGTTTGGGTTGCCTGATAATATTAATAATAATAAAACTATTTGTCTATTAGAAATGCACATTTGATAGTAGCTTGAGTTAGGATGCAGAAGTAAATTTTTGTTCATTATCAACATTAGTAACATCTGTAAAAATTGTAGCAACCTCAGTTTTATATGGTTATATTTATAAAAAAAAAAATTATGGTTTTAAGTTTTTTATTTATTTAAAAAAAATTTTTTTTTTTTAATTAAGCATTGATCTCCCATAGTAGCATACATTTAAATCATGATAAACACAGTTAAAACCACACATATAGCACCTCAATACCATGGTAAAAATATAGCTATATGGTTTTTAGGTAGCCTATTTGTATGAAAAACAGTAGTCTAAAAACAGTATAAATGCACACATGCTATAGCTTAATCAAAAATACATACTACAATTATATACCATTACTCTTAATAAAATTCAGTGTGAATATCCCAAATTTCTGGCACAATACCATGGTGCAGTGAGTGTTACTACATTAAATTTATGGTAAATACACTTCACATTTTTAAAATCTTTACACTTTTCCAGTCATTTTTCCTTGGTTTCTGCATGTTCTAATGAGGTTTGTATTGCCTGACTTTGACGCGTATCTGCAGCAAAGTTTGCACTGTAGGCTGCCATATTTATAATATTACTTTTTTTTTGTCTCTTAGAAATGCACATTTGACAGTAGATTGAGTTAGGATGCAGATGTAAATTTATGTTCAAAGGAATTTTATTTAAAACAGTAGCCAAATACAAGTTATAGCTTAATCATAAAAAATACTGTAATTATATTCCAGTACTCCTTTAATACTTTTAATACACATCTACATTAATAATATAAGAAAATTCAATGAATATCCCACATTTTTGCCACAATACCATGGTGCAGTTAGTGTTACTACAGTAAATCCATGGTAAATAATGGCGATTTGTAGATTGAAAAGCCTTCTGACTGTCTCGTTGCACTCGGTGTTTCTCCTGTTTGGATTGAAACTAGTTTAAATCACCGAGTCATTTGTGTTCATCGTAGGGGTGTGCGATATTGACAAAAAATTATATCTCGATATTTTCTGGGATTTTATCGATAACGATAATTAGACGATATTTTGCTATAGAGTGTGTTATTGTGCTGATATCTTATCTCTAATTGTGCTAACAGCTGACTCCTGAATTTTTTGATATTCTTCATATTCTGTGTGGTCAGTTCACAGCAGTGATAGAAATTAATC